TTTGGTCAATGACATGAGACAAAGTATATGTGAACTGCTGTATGAAAAGTGAATTTACTCTGTAAATCTTCACCCAAATCCTAAAAAAAAAAAAGTATGGAAAAATCTTATACAATGTGTGAAGTAGGAACTACTATTATTTCCATTAGGCAGATGTGAAAACCAAAGCACCAGGCATTAGTATTTGCTGAAGGTAGCACCAATAGTAAGTGGCAATGCACAATTTAATTCTAAGTAGATTTAACTATTAACCACTATGCTACACTATTTCTTACTTATTAAAAGCTCTTAAGCTTTATTAGGACATTTTAATACAAATTGAAAAGTAAATTCCATTTTAAACATAAACACACTAACTAGAAAAAAAGAAGGTAGGAACCTTAATTACCTCAGTTAGAAATAAAATATCCCAACATTCCCCCATTCCCCAAATTTCACTGCATGGTAGTTTACTCCATAAAGTAAACTTGAAAAAACACTAATACCTAAAAGCAGTCACAAAAATGGACATTTAAATTAAAAAAATGTACCATTATTTACTTATTACATATTATTTTCCCTGTTGTTTGATTTATGGTCCATTCTAGAGGTAGAGACTGAGCCTAAGGGATAGGAATAAGATGGGACAGATTTTTAAGAAATTAATGGTTCATTCTCATGGATAGGAAGACTCAACATTGTAAAAATGTTAATACTACCCAAAACCATCTACAGATATAACATAATTCTGATCCAGATTCATCTCAGCACTATTCACTATAGCAAAAAAGATGGAAACAACCTAAATGCTTATCAATGGATGAAGGGATAAATAAATCATGCTACATACACACAATGGAAAGCTATGCAACATTAAAGAATAATGATTAATCTGCAAAATACCTCATAGCGTGGATGAACCTAGAGGCCATTATGGTGAGCAAAATCAGTACAACCACAAAAGGACAATTATCGTTACGAGACCACTATTGTAAAACATTAAAGAAAGGTTTACACACAGAAAGGATTGTTCTTTGAAGGTTACCAGGGGCGGGAGGGTTAGGGAGGGGCAATCACCAACTAAAGGGTGGACACTTATTAACTTGGGTGAAGGGAAAGGCATTATACAATAAAGGGAGATCAGCACAAAATGATCAAGACAATGGAAGACACAGGGAGGAAAACTAGAGTTAAAAGAAACAAAGGTGAATACTGTTACATACACGATCCTGCAATAATAGTAATAACAATAATTTAAAAGTGGATGCATTGATAGACACTAAATCTGAACAGGGGTGGGAAGGCAAATGGGACTGTACCCATGAACATATATAGGTTTGACAGAGGCTCTGTCTACCTATATATTTATATGTACTGCAAAAATATCCATGAGTGTAGTAGAACACCCAGGGGACAAATTATAAAAACGTCTCAGTCATAACCAAACACCTTCAGGGAATAAGTCACTGGATATGGAGGCTCAGGACTACAGTCCCAGGCACACTAAGGTCAACTGGCATAACACAGTCCACAGAGCAGTGTTCTATATCCACTTAAGTAAGTAGTGACTAGGGTCTCAAAAGCTTGTATGGCCATCTAAGGCGTAACCACTAGCCTCTCCCCATCCAAAGCAAAGGCACAGGAAACAATTAGTCCAAAGGACTAATGAGGCACATGAACCCCAGTCTCCACAACCCTGAGACCAGAAGAGCCAAATGGTGTCCTGCTACCACTGCTGACCGCTCTGAAAGGGATCACAATAAGAGGTCCAGGATAAAGTGGGGAGAAGTGTGGAACAAAACTCAAAGTCATAAAAGAGAAGAGCCTTACTGGTCTGATGAAGACTGGTGGAACCTCCAGCTATGGCCCTTAAGACACCCTTCAAGCTAGGAACTGAACTTAACCCCTGTGACTAAACTGACAGCCAAATGACAGACAACCCTGTATGTAATATAAAGGTTTTACTCACTCATTAGGACAATCAAGCTTATGAGATCAGGAGCACAGCATTTGCCCAGGGATAGAGCTAGGAAGGTGGGAGGAGATGGGAAGAAAGAACAAAGGGAAGGGGTAGAAATGGGAAGAATGCCATCATGGCCTGGGGACTGAAGTAAATGTTACAAAACAGAATGTATGGATTGTTGAATGGAAAACCAATCTGCTCTGTAAATGTTCAACCAAATCACAATAAAAAAAATAAATAATTAAGACATTTGAAGTTAAGAAAAAAATAAAGGGTTCTCAGAACCTAGTAAAAGGAGAAAACTTTTAGAACTGAGGCATTTTAAGGCATCTAGTCAGGCATTCTTATGTTTATGAATGAACAACTGTTTCTGGAGTAGTTTTGTAGGAGTCGTCAGAGAAGCTTCCAAGTATGTTTTCTCTTTCACTTCTCAGTCTTTAAACTATCCCTTTTCTGCCTATCTAACGCAGAAGAGCATTTACTGAATTGCCCCTTGGTGGTGCACATTAGATTTTCATCAATGAATGCAACAAGAAATAATCTTACAAACTATCACTGTCTCTACCATAAGGATATTATTGTCTTCTACTAATGTTCTATATAAAAATTTAACTGATCAAAAAACTTTCCTTCTCCCCTCCAAAGAAATGGTTTTTTTTTTTCCTTCTTATAGACTACAAACCAAGTGATTACTTTCAGCCCAGCTAGAAAAAGTCTATGAATCTCTATATATGGTCTACATGTCTATATTCAACTATTTTCCCTCCTTTCCTTAATTCTTTCTCTATTTTCCCTTGGTCTAGATTTTTTTATTTTAAACTTTATACCCTCTTATTTTACTCTGTGTTTCTTGAACCATGTCCCAGATCATGTGGAATGAGTTTTATTTATAAATAACTGACAAAGAGTTGCATCACAACCTTCAAAAAAGAATGATTTAGAACCTGATATAAAAGCTTTAGGGGAGCTCGGATGGGGTAATGCCTAAGGCATTTGACCGCTAACCAGAAGATTAGCAGTTCAAACCCACTAGCCACTCCTCAGAAGGAAGACTGGGCAATCTGCTTCCATAGTGATACTGCCTCAGAAACCCAAGGAGGGGTTGCTATGAGTCAGTTCTCACTCGATGGCAGTGAGTTTGGTTTGGTTTATAAAAGCTTTGCTTATCCAGAGACCATGGGTATTGACTGCAATTCTTGAACTAACAGTTCGGATGAACAAGGATCTGGCACCGGAGTTTACCAAAAGCACTGGATCTCCCTATGTCTTTTGCCCAACTAAATAGATTCACTGTAGGCTTCTAATCTTTAAATTCTATGAAGTTAGGACAGTGTAAGTCTCATTCACCACTGCATTCAGTGTCATTCTGAAAGAATACATTTTGTTTATAACCTAAGATTCTCTTACATTGTATTTTTTAAAGTGTACATCTTTTAAAATCATTTCAATACACAATTTGGAAATGGCTTTCCAAAGATTAAAGGGTAACTAAAAGGAAAATTTCACTTGAAAAACACAGCTCTGTCTTCTGGTACATACGATTCTTGCTACAGACATGTTGCATGGCCCAAACTGCCCACAGCTGGACTCCTGGTGTTGTGAAACAGCCAAGTAATGGGAAAAATGGATTGAAGGACCTAGAGTCAAAGAAAAGTAATCCAAATTACATTCTAGTGTCATTTTCTAAAGCAATGAGACTTAACATTTACATTCTAGAAATTTCATCCTCTGTCATATAGGGTTGATGTGAGTAGGAATCAACTTGACAACAAACAACAATTTCTAGACCAATCTAATGAGCTATGGAACATCTTTTCTTTGTCTTGGCCAATTCAGAAAGGAGTGAATGCATTCAAACCAAAGTCTTGGTGCAGAAGATGAAAAATGATCAGAGCAACATACTAATAAAGAAAAACATCTTTTTCAAAAGACCTTTTTTGATCACAAACATACACATCTTGGTTTGAAAACTAAGGAAAGGAGAAGTTAGTTGATAACTGGGAGAACACCATCAAGGAAGTCTAGAATTAGCCTTCCTATTTCTACTGGTCTTCTGCACAAAAATGGGTGATAAAAGTTAGGGAAGAAGTCAAAGATGTTGGCAGCATCAGCAGTTATGAAGCAGACCACAAAAATAAGTTATAAAAAAATTATTTATGCAACAATCCGGATAATTTCAGATGATGACTTAGCTATCAAGTTACCAAATTGTTATAAATAGTTAGGCATACAGTATGCACTTCAAAAAATGATTATAATCTGTTTCCTCAAAAATCTGATGCTACTTCTAGTTTCCTCAATGCCATGCTGTTTTATAGCACTGATACATTGTATCCTCTTCCTAAAACTTCTTTTCCCTGGTTAATCTTTCAAACTTCCCCTCTGAAATTATTATCTCTGGTGGTGTAGTGCCTAAGGCATTTGACTGCTAACCAGAAGGTGGGCAGTTCACACCCAGCAGCCACTCCTTGGAAACCCAAGGAGGCATTGCTATGAGTCGGATCTGACTTGATGGTGCGTTTGTTTGGCAGAAGCTTTTTCAATGATTTCCCAGTACAGATTTAAGTGCTCTTATCTTCAGTTTCAAAGCACATATCTAGCATAATAGTGAATGATACCTGACTCATACTTGGTCTATTTCACTAGACTGTATGATTCCTGGGCATGGCAGACACCATGCCGTGTTCATCTTTGAATTTCAAAAGCACAGAACAAGTGACTGGCACTTGTCTTCAATAAATGTAAAATGAAGAAAGCACTGCTGAATGATAGGTGACAGAACAAAGTCAAAATACTTTGCCTCTTTTAAAACTAGTTCTAAGAAAGACGGCTAAGGGAAAATTTATACATCTAGTAGAAATGATCTCTATACAAGCAACTGACTACATGCTGGGTTAATATTAATTACGATAATTACCTGTATGCTACCATTTCACACTCTGGAGTTGGCCATTTCAAAATAGCTGAATGCTGCAAAACAAGACATATATAAAAGAGACTGTAGCATTTATTTAGGACTGTATTATGAGGCTTTGACAGTTTGACCACTATGAATGATTTTTGTTTGTTTCCAGAAAATATCAAATGATCCTACCAGATCATCCAAAAGAGAATTCCTCTGACTGCGGCTCAATGTCCAGGCTTGTTCACCTCTGGATATTAAATGGGCAATAATTCCAGCTGCAAAGTAACTGACTTCCACTTCAACACTGTGTAGAAGGCTACTGATGTGGTCTATAAAATCCTTCCACATTAATTCAGAATGCAATTCTTGTACTTCAGCTATATTGTTCTGGAAACAAAAGAAGACATAAAAATTCAAGTGATATGTATAAGAAATGTATAAGTGTATATGCACTCTAAGAAAGGACAGAAAAAATTATTTATGTTTTATTGACTTAAAACACATATTTACACATGGCAAAATGTGAAGAATACTGCTACATTATGATATTGGGATTATGGATGATTTTTTAAATTTCTTCCCAAAACAGTAAGAATAAAATAATAAAGAAATAGTAGTGATTTCCTTTCCAGATAAATGTCAAACTGTTAATAACCTAAAAACCCTCCTACCATAAAATACCTGAAAGTGATGGCTATAAAACAACTAACATCCTTTCAATATGTAACTTTACTTGCTGGGATCAAAAAGCAAAGAGATAACCAACTCACAGCGACCCCTCCTTGGGTTTCCAAGGCGGTATCGCTAAGGAAGTAGATTGCCCAACCTTCCTTCCGAGGAGTAGCTGGTAGGTTTGAATCACCAGCTTTCTGGTTAGCAGTCAAGTGCCTTAGGCACTATGCCACCAGAGCTCCAAATGTCAAACTAGATAACCTAAAAAACCTTCTACCATAAAATACCTAGCAGTAATGGCTGAAAAATAGCTAAATCCTTTAAATATATAACTTTACTTGCTGGGATCAAAAAGCAGAGAGAGAACCCAACTAGAGCTAGGCCATCACTGCCTTGCAGGGGCAGGAGAATTGGTTTTGAACAGCCATGCAAGGGCAGAAGGTGAGGGCTAGAAATCAGAACCGAGACTTTCGAAACAAGACCAAGATTTTAAAAATATTATCCCTCAATAAAAGGGTGGACTGACATAGGTATATGAAAAAAGGATTATCTATTATAATCTGGGATCTGGTCTAAAAGGAAAAGCCTTCCCTTGTAATGAGTAACCATGAACCTGCCCCCATGCAAAACTGTGGTTCAAATTTATACCATCTGTGTGGGCTGGAGAAAGTGAGAAGCAACAAGAGAGGTAAGAAGAAAGCTAGGAAAGTGTGGTATCTAGAAAGCCGAAAGGGGTGAATATATCAAAATGACGAAGGGATTAGCAGTTCTGTATGATGTGGAAAACCTACATAAGATAAGGGCAAAACAGCACCCGTTGATCTGAGTAATATAGTGGTCTTGTGTCTTAAAAATTGTACAGCTTTAGCCCTCCACTGAATGCCAAAAGCTTGCCAGGATACTGCTGGCCTTTAGATCATAGATACTTTATCTGAATGTGGGGTATGCTAGCTTACAGAAGCAGTACTTAAGGAAGACCTCAGTTCATATAAAAAACAAATGAGGAAAAATTTAGACTGTGCTTGATCTTCTCCCAATGCATATGAAAGCCAACTTATCTTATTACTCTAAAGATTAACCATCATTCTTTCTTTTTTTTTAATTGTGATTTGGGTGAAGGTTTACAGAGAAATTTACTTACCATACAGTGGTTCACATATACTTTGTCTCATGACATTGACCACAGTTTACCACAATGCAACAGCTCCCCTGCCACTTCCTCCCCATGGTTACCTCTTCCCTATGTCCATCCCTCCATGCACTCCTGCCCCCTGAGCTGTCTCCCTGTGCATAAGCAGCCCTTCTTTCTCCCATGATTGTTCTCTCCAAGGAGTATATCTACTTGAGGTAAATGTTCAACTCATATGCCTGTCTTTTATTTAGCTGGAAACCACAGGTGTGGGTTCAATTCCAGACCTGAAGGGCAGCTAGGGGCCATAGTCTCAGTGGTTCCACCAGGCTCTATCGGACCAGCAAACCTGGTCCCGTCCCCTCCCACCTTTATTTTTTTTTTTCCTCCAAATGATTTTGAGTTTTGTTCCATATTGTTCTCCCTCTCTATCCAGGATCTCCTACACAGATCCCCTTTCAAGTGGATGACAGTGAACTAGGGCACCATCTAGTTCTTCTGGTGTCACAGTCATATAGGCTGCAGATCGGATGGTGTACCTAGATTAACAATCATTCTTAAAACTTCATTTGATTTAATAAGAAATCATAATTCTCTTTTCAACACATACACTCCATGCCTTAGAAATTAACAACCCTGGTCTATTAATTGTTAAGAGATTATTCACTCTCTGGTTTAAGTCTTTCTGCACAAACTAAAAATGAAAGGCATCATGTAAAAATGTACTCTCTGTAATGACTAAAAAGTTCCCTCTTCAATCATGGAAAAGATGAGGGTGAAAGAGAAAGTTTAATTGTATTTACTGCATAAATGTGTATAATGGTATGTATTCCCATCAGTGTCAGTGATTAATCAATGTTTCCTATGCCCCTCTCTAATCTTACATTAAAAATAAGAAAAAGCATTTTGCATTAATATTTTATACTCTTCTCTACCTATATTTGTTACATAAAGCATGTATCGTTGTGATAATGGCAAAAAATAAAAAAAGTATAAGCCTCATATAACTATGAAGGAGTGCTGGTGGCATAGTGCCTAACGCATTCGACTGTTAACCAGAAGATTGGAAGTTCAAACTCACCAGCTGCTCTGCAGAAGGAAGATGGAAGAATATACTTCCATAAAGATTTATGGCCTTGGAAACCCAATGGGGGTCGCAATGAGTCAGAATTGATTCGATAGTAGTGAGTTGGTTTGGGTAACTATTAAAAAAAGGGGGGGGGTGGTCCCCCTCTAAGCTTGGAGAAGCTTAATAGAAAAAAAAAAACATAAAGCCCCTCTGGAAGGATACACCTTGAACTCAAAAATTCATAGAGGATGACATCACAATCCTAAACTGCAATTCACAATGAAAACAATTCACACCGAGTGAGAATCATCAGGCACAATAGTATATTAGACCCCCCAAGAGCCTCATATAATACAACTACAAGATAGTAAATATATAATAAAGTTAAATTGATAAAAGAAGTATTAAAAAATACAACAAAAGACCCTGTGACCACTATTTAAAAAAAAAAAATTGGAATAGAAAAAAATATAACATCAAAAGAACATCCTGCTGTAAACAAGTTTCTAGAAAACCAGACAAAATATATGAGAGAACTATTTTTTTTTTTCCCCAGACCCTGGACAACAGGCAATTCAGAAATGTGATCCCAGAGAGAGGGGATACAAAAAAGGCAATTTTCAGGTAACTTGCAGCACAAGTTAAGAGGAACCCAGAGAGAACTAGACAGTTTTGCTGAGTTAAAGAGACAGAGATCTGAGTTCAAAGTGATCAAGGCAGCAAAAATACTAGACAGGAAAATGCTTCATAGAGAGAGAGAACTCCAGAGAACTAGAGAGAAGGCCTTTCTAATCTTTGGCTAAGTACTAATATGAGGTGAAACTCCATGAGTTAGGGAAAGAGCCATCAGAAATCAGTACATAAACAAATCCCAAAGATCACAGGGCTAGGAATTGTTCACACAGTCAAGTGAAGAGATTTCCTAATACACAAGGATCTTCTCGATGGCAATGAGTTTAGTTTTTTTTTAATTTAGTAGTGGGGCTAAATGACGTATCAGCCTGAGGATAAAGGCTGATCTGAAGTCACCTGACAAAGCAAATAAACAAGGCTTGAAAGGTACAAATTGAACTGCAAGTAATTTAATTATACAACAGAATAAAGTCCAAGACTCTTTAAAGAAAAACAATTGAATCCAGCAATCAACAATGTATATTTCATAAAGACTAGCATCTAGTAAGAAATTACCAGGCATATAAAAAGAGGCAGGAAAATATGACCCATGCTCAGGAAAAAAAAAATCAATGGATATAAATGGGCCCAGAAATGACAAGCATAATAGAATTAGCACACAAGGACTTAAAACAGATATTGTAAATATTATAAATATGATCCAGAATAAAAGGAAAATATAAACACAAAGGAAAAAGGGTAGCTTGAAAAGACAAAGTATTACAATGAAATGTAAAACGACCTGGAGTTAGAAAAACAAAAGGGAAGACCATGTTCAACATATTTCAAGCTGAAAGAACTGAAAAAAGTCAAATCTCAAGTTACAATATTGGAGGACTCTATGGTTAAGATGTTGAATAATACAGGAAGCATTAAGAAATGATGGGAGTAATAGTCACTGAACCAAAATGGACTGGTTGATGTTCAGTCATATCAGAAGGTAGCATATGATCAAGAATTAATGGTACTGAAGGAAGTCTACACTGAAGGAACTGGCAAAAAACAAGGCTCCATGTGACATGAACAGATATATGCACACTGTTCTGGTTACCTAGTTCTTCTCTGACAAGAATATAACACAAATGAGGTAGCTTTAACAAATAGGAATTTATTCTCTTACAGTTTAGAGGCTTTAAGTCCAAGTTCAAAATGTTAGGCTCGAGGGGCTGGGTCAAAGCCTCTTGACCTTAGACTTCAGCTCTGCTACTTGTTCCTGGCCCACTGAAGTTAGAGGCATCTCTTCACTCAGATAGCTACTGGCTGCTGAGGCTAACAAGCCCAAGGTTGATAAATAAAATGGCATAGTCCCAATTTTACCAAACCACATGGCAGGCCATTAATTCAAGTCCATTGTAAGTCCCAAGGTCAGCAGAGCATGGCAGGCTGCTGAACAATGACATGGCTACATGCTGAGTCCAAGCATGCCATAAGCTAGAGACTATCCCCAAGGCTTCTCCTTATATACAGGAAGCAGACTACATCCCAAAAGCAGCTACTCAGCTGCTTGTGGTAGATCCCACCACGGAGTTGATTGCCAGTTTCATCATGGGGAATAACTACCACCAGCTGCCCAGCCACTCAACCAGGCCCAGCCAAGTTGACATACAAATTTAACTACCACAACACTCATGTTCATCATAGCAGTATTCACAATAGCAAAAAGATGGATGAAACCTAAGTGCCCATGAACAGATGAATGGATACACAAACTATGGTACATACACACAATGGAATATGATACAACATAAAAAAACAATAATGAATCTACTAAACATCTCATAACACAGATAAATCTAGATGACATTATGGTGAGTGAAATTAGTCACAAAAAGAAAAATATTTATG